TAAAGTACAGTAATGTTTTATAATATTCTTTGAAAATGACTCTATGAAGAGTCAAAACGTCAAATCTTTTTTAATACAATAGGCTTCAGTTTAGTCTATGGCTGCTGTTAATTTAAAAAAGAAAATCTTGATCGGTTACAGCTACGGTAATGACAACAATAGGAATAAAAAAAAACGAGACTAACTGATGAACAAAGAGTAGAGAAGGATATCATGAGATTAGAATCTTTGTGTGTCGCGAATAAATGTAACTACGATATTACATAGTTCATTCATTTCTGTTACGTTTAAAGATGTTGCAAGTTTTAGAAAGAGAATGTGTTCAAGAGTAAGGGTATCGTTTACTAGAGCTACTAACTAACGAGGGAACATATGTAAGTGTTCCCTCGCTTTTTCAACGAAACCTAGTGGGTTATAGGTTATCGATGACGCTGATTCCGAATATGAATATGAGAGCTGCCCTTAGGACTTTGAAGACCCAGTTTTCTGGAAAACCAGTTTTTCGAAAACTCTGAAAACACCCAAAGCTTTTCTTAATAAGCCATGCTTGTAGCCCGCACATTTCTGATTAAAATGAGACCTCTTCCAACTCTACATGACCTTTCTTTGCAAAGTTATAGAATTTACATGGAGAGCCCTAAATTAATTTCTTCTTATTTCTGTGGCTTCGAGTTGACAATGAATATTTAGGGCTTTTCTTGAAAATTCAATAACTTTGCAAAGAAAGGTCATGTAGAGTTGGGAGAGGTCTCATTTTAGTCAGAAATGTGCGGGCTACAAGCGTGGCTTATTAAGAAAAGCTTTGGATGTTTTTCAGAGTTTCTGGAAAACTGGGTCTTCGAAGCCCTAAGGGCAGCTCTCATATTCATATTCGGAATCAGCATCATCGATAACCTATAACCCACTACGTTTCGTTGAAAAAGCGAGGGGGCACTTACATATGTTCCCTCGTAAGTTCTTTTTACATAGATGATCATTCCAGAGAGAAAAATTTACGTGCATTTGATTAAGAATCAGTGATTCTTAATCAAATGCACGTAAATTTTTCTGCTACCCTTAGGGCTTCGAAGACCCGTTTTTCTGGAAAACCAGTTTTTCAGAAACTCTGAACAACAAGACTGAAAAACATTGAAAGAAAATATGACACTGTCATATTTTCTTTCAATGTTTTTCAATCTCGGCCGCATAGCAAGGAAAAAAATAATCGTTTACTGCAGGAAGGAATTTTCTTAAAGCTGAGATTATAGTAATAGCAGTACACTNTTTTTCGGTCGATTTTCTGTAATCTTCAATTAATTTCCAGTTTATAGAAAATCGACCGAAAAATCGCCGGGGATTCTCTAGTTTATAGAAATTCCTCGACGAATTTCCAGCTTTCTAGGAAATGTTGATTTTCTAGTTTATAGAAAATCGATTCTCTATAAACTGAAAAATCGCCAGCGATTTTCCAGAAAGTGGAAATTCGATCAGGAATTTCTAGACAGGGCGCAAATAACGAGAGGGTGTGAGAGGGTACGCTCCCTGCCAGCAAGAATTTTGATTTAGGCAGAGACAGTGCGGCCGAGAAGTTTCGGTAGGAAGGTCGGAAAATCGGAGACGTTCACCAGAAATTTCTCAAAAGCATGAGGCAACAGGGTCAACCCCCATACAACCTGGTCGCGCCGGCACTCGGTGCAGACTTGTCAAGGACTTTCCAGTTTCTAGAAAAGGAGCTTTTACTTTCTCGAAAATTATTTATGGAAATTCAAGGACGATTTTCTAGATTGTTAGAAATTCGATTTTCTATAAACTGAAAAATTCTCGGGGAATCCTAGGTACTCTTTGGAATTCGCCGAGTATTTTTCATAAATAATTTCCAACCTTACAGTGTAGGTAAGACATTCCATTGCTTAATTGTCCATGGAAAAAATGTACTTTCGAGCTTAACTATGGGTGCGGTATGCGTAAAAACGAATTGATGTAGAGCAACACTCTTCAGAGTATGCGACTGAGACATTAATCAGAGAAATTTGGGTGTCTCATCAATCAGAGATTGATTGAAACAACCAAAAAACTACAAAATACCAGCGAGTTTCTTTCAAATTCACGGAAAACAAAGACGATTTTCCAGAAATTCATTTTATTTTAGAGAAAATCAAACACTGTTTTTAAAAAATCAGTTTGATTTTCTGTATAATCAGACGATTCTTTATTTTTAAAGAAGATCAGAAAAAGTTTTCTATTATCTGAGGAATCAAGACGATTTTTCGAACTATTTTGAAAATCAAAATTCTTGAAAATCGACTCCATTTTTAACAAAGTAGAAAATAAGCATTTTCAATATTCTTATAAAATCGTTCACGATTCCATAAAAGCTCTAAAATCATTTCCAATTTTCAAAGTCGATTTTTGATAAGTTAGAAAATAAATCGAATTAACAGTGTGGATCGTACGGCAATTATGTATAATTATGCATAATTAAACTGTTTTATTATGCGAAACTATATGCATAGTTCGGCAGCACACTTGTATTCTAGTTTTGGCTTGTAAAAAAAGATTCGTTTCTTTTTATGTCGAGAGACATGTGTTTTCCCTAGGCATTTGTGGTTTTGGATGCGAAATGTGCACGACATGATCTAGAGAACTACGCCGCGTAGAATAATTCTGAAAACGGAAAATGGTTCTCTAGATACTGAAAATTGACCATTGTGCATTCTTTTCCCCAAATCCCTCTGGATCTGCCGTCACAGGATCCAAAAGTGGAAGAAATTTGTGCTTTTGACTTCGAACTTTTTCATATATTCATTAATAGCTTGTTGTCTGACGCCATTTGGTCATGGGTTATTCGGATACAGTTCATCTATGTATAAGTGATTGATATTATCGATGAGTCATTGCGATTGCTTAAGAGATAAATGTATTGCTGTCTTACAGATAATGAATGTAGCATTCAACAAGTAACTGTCAAACATCGTCATATAATTGAACGTCTTAAATACCTTACAAGTCTAACAGAAAATAACTCGTTAAGACGAAAAATAATTCTCTCTCACATTCTTTCTCTGTTCTTCATATTTCGTTCTCAGTTCTATTCCCTTTAAAGCAGATGACAGAGAAAATCACAGTGAAGTCGTGCAATGAAAATTTGCTGACTGAATTGATAACTTTTGGCAGCTGTCAGCAGAGACAGAGTCTGTCGACATCGCAACTTATGCGTGCACAATTGCAATCTAGTTTATATCATGTTGTTGCTGCATTAATTCGTGACTTTCTTTCATCTCGACATTAGATTTTTTTTAGCATACAAAATTGTAGCAAACATTTGACTAATTAATGAACAATACTTTTAGTATACAGCTAATTATGAAGACGGCTATTGAAATTAGCAATTTCAAATGTTCTTAATAATAACCTTTAATGGGCGAAAATTAAAATAAAATGAATATAGCATTAGTCACATTCATAATTACTAACTCGAATTTTGTTTGCTCAATTTTTTAAAATTTTGTCAACCAGTTATATCACTCGTATGAAGATCTAAAACTTCGTATCATATTGCTAATCGACTTATAAAATGTTTTATAGAACGCATTTATAGAAACCTACTTCATCATGTAATAGTAATTACAACCACGTTAGTCGATGCACTTTTGTATCACGGAACTATACTTTTATCATCATCTACAAAAAAGAAACAAATAAATCAGCAAGCAGAGGACTTATGAGGTACGAGACAAAAATACAGTAAAGTATTTTGTTTTTTCGATTAACCATCACGTCAGTCATCCAAATACGAACATGCATTTGAAAAAAGAGTTAGAAGTCATTTTTGCTGACGATTCAAAACTAAATGGTTCTGTGCAGTTTTTTACATTCTTATATGTTATATATTGCTAAAAAGAACAGTCATTATTCAAGAAATATTGAACGTTCAATTATTTTGAAATTTGCTGAATTATCAGTCTTAAAAATTAACTTTTATCTAAAATAAAACTATTTTTTAAACTCTTTTTTGATAAAATACTAACTAAATAAAATACGACTTTTCGGATTTATTATGGATATATCTTCAAATAGCTGTCAAACCACTATATCTCCAATTCTATATCAAGTGCAGCATTTTTATTTATAGAGTGGTGAACAACTGTACAGTAAAACACTTTGTATTTTTGATTTTTCAAGTGTTTGGTAGTGAAATGATCCTTTTGCTTGCATGTCGATGATTGATGGATAATTATTATACGGCGTACACATATACTACTCAGGGTTACTCCTACAACTCCTCAAATCTCCTTGATGTACTGTAGGTTTTGTGAACAATCAAAAAAACAAAGTGTTTTACTGTACAGTTGTTCCCCATTCTATAAATAAAAATGCTGCATTATCATATTTTTCGAAAATATATGCTCGGTTTTCTCATTTATATAAATCTTTGCGATCTATCTATCACGTCTCACGAGATTCAAAAACAAACAAACAAAAAAGTCTCTATAAAATACAAAAGAGATGATAATCTTTTATTAACATTGATAAAATAGAAATATTGCACAGAACGATTAAAAACAATACAAGTTTATTACTAAAAAAGTAAATGAACAAAACACATCAAAAACAGATAGCTGATAAATAAGAGAGACCGTGCAGTTCGTACGGAAATTAATGAAATAATAGAGCAAAAATTAGTTTTACTTATGCGTCATCATTAAAAACTTGAAAGTAGTTTGGAACTCACATAACATTCATAGTTGTGCAAAAAGTTTAGTAAATAAGAAAATAGAGGAAACAAAACGATAGTCATAATTAATTGGAAGAAGAGAATAAAGAATACTCCGCCTTGTGGTTACCATTACTAGTGTAGGGTGCTGCCGTGACAGTTTCTACAGTTAACAAGCTTCTGAAATGGTCACCCATCTCGTTATTAGTCATCAACTGCAGCTCTGGCTAGAAGGCTAGCCTGATGCAGATGGAGAGTATAAACAAGAGAAGTTTATTACTATGCTCCTGCAAACACATTCATATTATTATTCTGTTGCTTCTGGTATTTCAGTTCCATCAACTATCAATGAGTGATAGATGCCAAATCGATGATGTTTTGTACTCACTGCTTTGACAACGGCATCATGATTTGCTTTAGCTGTAGTTATTGTAAAATACGTTTCTGTCCCCTCGTCCGCAAAATCCCTGTCAGCTTCTATACGTTTACCATTTAACCAAATATCTAACGTATCTTTTTCTAACACAATTCGATATTCCTCACCGTCCAATTTCAGTGTCCATGTTCGACTGATTTTCGACCGATTTTCACGGAACTTCTGTAACGGTTTACCATCGATTTCTAATGTATATTCATATGCAAATCCAGAATTGGCATCAATGTTTATTATACAATTATGTTTACCAATTATAAAATGTTCTTTTCCTAAAAGTCTAAATAACCAATCATTTCGACGTATTTCTTTGCCATCCACTCGAATTACTCTTTTCCCGGTTGTTGTTCCATGTTCAAATTCTACTTTATGAACGCCGTCTGATAGTGCTACTTGCTATTGCCCGACAATATCACTCATCTAATCTATATTAAATAATTACGCAAAGAATCAAGCGATTTTTCACAAAAACTCAAAATTATTTCGCAACAAGTATTCAAGACATTATGAAAACAAATCATAGATGGAATCTTACTCTTGCAGTTATCACCATCAAACTATTCTTCAAAATATGGTCAGAATTATATTAAAATTGATTGGGATAAACTGAGGCCTGCTGGAATTCATATTCCCCATATCTCTATACTCTTAGTCGTTTCCTTAAAAAGTCTGTATTCAGTCAAAAACAAATTCTGAAAATTAGTTTAAATATGCAAAATCCTTCGCCTATCCGAATCCGAAAAAACACGGTTGATCAGTCCACTGATTAATATGTGACCAGTAAGGTTTCTGACTTGTAGCAGATTAGAGTAGAACTGCGAAAACTAGTGATTTTCTTTTCTGTTTTTTTTTTCTTTTCTATTTGTTTTCTAATTCACGTTATTATATGTATATATTAGGCCTGTAGCAACAAATGTAAATGTTAAAACTTTGATCAAAAAAGATGCATTTTACATTTAAAATGTTTCTTTTATCAGCTGCGCCAGAACAGAAAAGAACGATACATAAAGGACGCACGCTGTCTTTTTGCGTTCCTTTCTTTTCTTTTGTGTATATTCTGTGCGCTGAAGGACACTTTTGACATACATTTATAGTAGAGATGGGCATCGGGACCAAAAATAATTTTCTGGTCCCGGTAAAAGATTTGATTGCCGTTCCATCACCTTCACGGTTAAAATATCATTTGGCCGTGCATTTTGTAGAGAAATGTTTGCTCTTTCA